GAAATCGGAAAAAATGTTTTAGGTTTCAAGCCCTGATAAAAAGTAATAAAATAGTTTAAAATAAAAATTTTATATTTTGATTGTTCTCTAAAGTTATTGCATTCAGACGGTTTTTAGGGACGAGATAATAGATATATTTTAGGTTAAGGGGGATAAACACTATACGCGTATTAAGTATTTAAGTGTACCTATAGTGTGTGTCAACTGACACACAATACCGATCCGATATCACAGCAACATAGGTTTAATACATTTGTTAATTTCATAAAGATCAGAATGATATGCAAAAACCAGAAGTAAATACGATATATTATAATCTATATATTTGGTACAATACCGTATGTACTGATGTGTAAATAAATGTACACTCGCGTGATACACACGTAAGAATATTTAAAAGAATATTTAGGTCATAAGTATAGCTTCGGAGTGGTATACCGGCCTCACTAATAAATTGCAAAGCACCAGTGAACCTGAAAACTTTTTTACTAAAACTCTTTTTTTATTTAATTATTAATTTGTTAAACAACACGTATTAATTTGATATTGTGGTGGCTGACCTGCAGTGGTCTCTATATAATTGGCACTTTGGTTTTCAACTATGATATTTACCCTATTTAAAATTTCGGTCCAAATGTTTTGTCACCATCTGTTGTGTCAGCATTTGGTACTGTCACTTGTCAGTTTAACAATAACGTGAACTGTCATTAAATTAAGTGTCTATCCAAAAATGGTATGAAAAATGTTTATGTTGGATAATTATAAATTAATTTATCTATCATATAACAATAATTTATAAATATAAATATCTGGTTCGTAATTTATATATTTTATATTTATAAAAATTACGAAAATTAGCAAATTATTTTGTAGTTGAAATTCATTAAAATTGTAACTTTAAAAGTTAATCTCAAAAATGTAATACAATATTCCTTATAAGTGATTCTTACTGGAATAAAAAAAAAATGGTTTATGCGTAAATTCGCGCCTATTCCACATTAATTTTTATATGAGTATAATTTGAAGTTCAAAATTAGATATTTTAGAGCAAAATAACGATTTATTTTTAAATGGTATTTGTATTTTGTTATAGCTCAAATATATTAATCGTAGTGACTTAAAGGTTGAAATATTCAAGTATCATTTAAATTAACCATTTATATATCTACAATAAAATTAAATTTATAAATATTTAGACTAATTTTAAGTAAGTATTTATACCACTAGTCCATTTCCAATATTCATTGGTACATAAGTTGTAATGACTTCCAAGTTTAAGACAATAATATACTAAATTAATACCTTTGCTATGTTTTTGGTAAAAATTACTAATACGGTAGGTATGATTAATAGTAATAATTTATAACTAGATTATAAAATATCGTTACTTAGGAATGGATTCCGTTCAGATTCGTTTTTCAATTTTAACGATTTATCATCGAATTCATATTTAACATATCTAATAGAATTAACTACGAGGTACATTACTATATGTAACAGCGAGCGACTTAACGATTTAGTAGTTACCTACCTAAATTATTTGCTTTATATACTTATTATAATGATATATTATAAAATATAAAATATTATTGTAATTTTCTCTCAATTATGTTTTGAAACCAATTTTATTTCGTAATTATAAAAACAAAAAATACTACGTAAATCTTTTAAGTTTTAGTATGTTTGATCGAATTTGAATATACTTCCACGAAATAACAAGGTTAAATTACAGCTACTCAATAGTTATTGCGTGTTGACGTCTATTGGAAACACTCGTTCAAAATAGGTACCTTTAATTGCTTATCAAGAGAAAAAGTAGTGGAATGAAATTTTTTTTCTAATTGTTGAACTGCTCTTGATTTTATAAAACCGTAAAAAATATGTGGAAAACGTATAATACATTTTACTTGTATTATATACGTTTATAACATGAAATGCTTAACTTCAAATATTATGATAAGCAAATAAAATAATTTATTTTTATAATTGAAATGTACGAGATAATATAACAATAGTCCTACACTATAGCCACTTATGTATAATAACATGTATAGCTGAATCAGAATGCTGATAATAATAAATTAACTACAAAAAACTAATATAAAGTTTTGTATCAGTATTTAATATTTATTTAAATATATAAAATAAAAAATAAATGTGATATTTTTTTATAACCTAAGAGTTAAATAACTAAATAAGTAATATCTATTGCAATAGAATGAAAAAAATGCACTCGAGTATTGTTAGTTTTGTAAAATAAATTTAATTTTAACCGATTTCAAGAATATTTAAAGTTAAACACTAAACAATTGACCATAAAATTGATTAATTCTAAATGAAACAGAATATAAATTATAAATATAGATCTTGAGCTTAGAATATGTACCTTCTACGCAGCATTAATAAATTATACTAATTATTAGAAAGGTTTTTAAAATTATTTGTGACTTGTGTTTTATTTGATGGAAATTAAAGGTAAAATAGTTATCATCACTGGATAATAATATGTTTTAATCACAATATAAATTAAAAGTCGTCTGTAATATTGTCGCATAGTAATATTTCAACGTTTTTAAAATACCGTTTAGACTTTAAGTAACTGAAATTTGTTTCGCTAGTTGCAATCGAACAAGACTCTAACGACTTTATTTAAATAATTTTACTATTTGTTTGAATATAAATATAATATATATTATGCAACATATATAATAAATGTTGTGTGGGAATACCGATGAAAATGGAAAAAAAGTGTTTGAAATGAAAATTGAAAACATAATGCATGACAATATTTTAAAAGTTCATTGTTTTATACGGAAAAAGCGAACAATATTGTACTAAATACAAAGTTTTTACTCAAAAATGAATTATAAAGCGACTATATTGTTTTTGGTTGATGTAAATATCGTTATACCAACGACGACAAACCTACACAATTATTTGACTTATACGAGTTTCGAATTTTAAGAGACATCTAAAAAAAAGTTTTTGGTATGTGCTTTCATAAGTCCATAATATAGTAATAAAACTTATTATATTATGAAGGTTTTATTAGTTGTATAAAATAATAAAGCAAACATTTATAAAAGTTTTCTTTTGTTTCTTATTTTAAATCTAAACATATATATATATATATATATAATATGGATATGCATAAATGCGCAATAAAAAATAAGAATAGAAACAGCATACCTACCTAAATCAAAAATTGTCAATATTGTTTCACAGACGTTTTAAATTCTAACAGCCATAGGTAGGTACATTTTATAATATAGAATATATACAAATATTATTTTTCTTTTAAATTTTAAGACCTGAATATTTTAAAGGCACACACAATTTAAGGAGTGTATTAATATTTTCAGTTACTAGCTAGGCACCTAGATTATTAGTTTAGACACAATTTAATCCATACAATTTCACAGTCATTTCCTACGTAGATGGCTAACTCATTAACTAAATGATGAAATTATACCTACGTCCTGGAATATATTCTCTTAAATGTTGAAAATTATTTGTGATTTAATTACAAAAATACGTGTTATGTTGATTCGTCGTCGGTGTTCATTAAATGCTCACACAGCGCGTAATATAATTAATAATTAATTATTAATAATTTACTGGCTTCTCCTGTAAAAAAAGTGCTTTTCGTATGATAAAATTAAGCGTTGTTTTGGGAGTTTTTGTCTAAAAATAACTAACTATTGACACTATAAGAATTAAATTTATCACAATGTTTTTACAACTTAGAAGAACAGCTTCAAATTTAAATTATATGATATTATGATCTTAGTTAGTATTTTTACCAGTACGTATTAAATTCGAATGGATTGTTTTTAATTTTTATTGATCGTAAAGCATGATGTGGAAACTGCATCAGTAAATTACGAGAAGATTTTAAACGAAATTGAATTTGATTTAAAATTGTACAATATTAATGAACAGTTATTTGGATTCAAATTATAAAGATAATTTGACTTGGGTAATGAAAATGACTTACAGTTTCATGTAAATACATTTTTTTTATCTTTACAATTAGGTATTATATTATAAAAGTGTCAAGACAAAACTGTATTTAACGAAACATAAATTATTTTAAAGGGTTCATTTTTTAATATTTTATTTGCTATATGTATTTGTCATTTCAGTACTTTTTAAATAGGTACCTATTTTTATCAAAAGTTACATAATATTTACGATGGAATTATAATTCAAAAATTCTAAAAGTATTTTACGAAATAAATCATAGTATTGCTCCATTAAATATATTTTGAATTTATTATAGTATAGACAAGTATATTGTATATATAGAATATAAGGATTAATTCTAAGTTTCTATAAATCAGATATCAAATTTGATTTTTACCAAAAATGTAGACGATATAAATAGTAAGTACTTTGGCCATAATTACAGATAAATTAAAAAGCGAAAAAATTCAAAATAAAAATGAAACTTAAGGTCTGTATTATTATCACACAAAAAACTCTGATAGATTATTGTTGCACATTTTATTTAAAACTTTAAAAGAAAAATATGAAAGACAAACCAATGAAATGAAAGGAATTAAAAAATTTACAAAAAACAAAAAAAATAATCTGAATTATAATAAATAATAATTGTTAGTCAATATTGTGATTATTTTGAACAAAATATTTGTTTAAACTACCTAATTAAATGACATTTTGATAAATTATATCGATGGATGAGGCAAATTGTATTCTTTCTCAGAATAATTATTATCATCAAAATTATTAGTTTTACTATTATCTCTTACAATGGAGTTATTTTGGCTTTTAAAATAGATGTCAGTATATATAGGTAATAGGTAGGTACTAGGTATATTTCAATATTACTATAGGTATTTTCCCAAGGTTTAAGTCGTTCCTTTTGCGCAATCTATGTAACACCATATGAATATTTTTTCAGATGCCTGGTGACCAGTTCGTTTGTCGCTCTTCAATTCTGGTTTTAACCGGTCAGTGATCTGAAAACTTTAAACAGTATGGAGTACACGTGGACGCTGGTGTCTAACACTGACGATCAAGGTTTAGGCAGCGAAACAAGTCTGTTGAATTGTAATGTTCAAGGACCACACTCGGGTCAAATATTAATACTCTCGAACGAGTCCAGTACCCAAGCCATACAAAATCAAGCTTTACCCGATATTACAAGTCCTCTGGAAAAAGATTATGGGACGAGCCGGATACACTCAAACGAGCCCAGGAAACTTCATCTCATGCATAGTAAGTGTATATTATTATTTATTAATAATTCTGAATATTTTAATAAGTTCCCAAAACTGATCGAGAATATTTTGAAAATGTCTTGTCGTTATATTTAATTGACCAATGCAGCCTGACTATTATATTATTTAGAATTTTGTGCATGGTAAATTTAATAAAAATGCAAACGAAAAAGTAAATTAATATTATATATGATATTATATCATGTAATATGGAGACAAAACATTTGTACACATTTAATCTCGAGATTTTATAAATTATTAAATACGTTTTTAAAGTTTTAAAATGAAAAGTTTAATTATATGTATTAATTAATATAATATAAAATATATAATAATATAATTTGATTATACAATTTATTACAGAAATTTTATTCATATTTATAAATTGTACGATTCTGAGCGGAGCGAGGAACCTGGTGGTTTTACAATGGTGTTTGTTTATTTATTTTTATCCTGTAAACAAAATTTCTACCAGAAGGAGTGCTTTGATTTCAAAATATAGTACCTTATCTTTTAGCAAATTGGACCAATATGATGGTACTTTAAACTTGAAATTTTTCAATTTTCTCAATAGTTATTTAATGCCACGGGAAAAATCATAGAAACGAATAAAAAATTATAATATTATAATATTAATTAAACTTACAGGTTTTAATAAATAATAACAATATAAAATATCCAGACTGACAAACCGTCTCCGCTCAGAATCGTTTTTCTTATACAATGATATTATATCATTGAATTCAAGTTTAATACAAACCATTATGCTTGTAACCTACTGTACAGCAGAGCGACATCCACTTACCTGCTTTTTGTTATATCGTTTGTGATATTTGTGATATTAATAAAGGGTTTAAACAGAATTCGTCTACACCACAAAATTTTACTTACTACACTATTAACTTTACATACATTTTTGAATTCTTAACTTCACATATGAGTATATAATTCTTATATATTCGTCTCTCTGTCAATTCACCAATATTGTTGTTGTTATGACTTACTTATTTACTATTAAACAGTTAATTTAAGTTTATTAATATTCATACAATATTATTTATTGACCTGGTTAATAATTATTTATTAATTTATGATCAACAAATTTTTGTCAACGAATATTTTCTTTAACTAATATAATTCACCAATTAGAGGTATTTGAGTATAAACAAGATTATTTTTTAATTTTTGAAAAATTACATTGACAAAATATTGAATGTCTATTAACAAATAGTAACTACTTAGTACTTACTAGTTACTATAGTATAGTTAGTAGTTACATTAATTAGTAAGAATTAAAGGTTTTGACGAATTCATAAATCACAAACCTCTACAATGTAACTACTTTACTTAGGTATCGTAACTAAAGTTGTATTGTTATAAATAAGTTATTTTTACACGTTTGGATATAAACAAAAAATTAAAACATTTAATACATATATAATACTAGTAAAACAATGTTCTATAATTTATAGAAACTTAAATCCTATAAGACGCAACTGTAGTTTAAACTATATAATGAAACATTTATTTTTAATCAAAATTATATTTACTTTTATTTTACAATAATTGTTTACCTTTCTAAGAATACTAGTATAGTGTTAAAATAATGCTGATAAATGTTTAGTATATTAGTAAAAAAAAATACAAGGTTCATCATAAGTTGTTCATACTACAAAAAAATATCAAGATTCAAGTCACAATTTTTTTATCATCGATTTAATTTTAAATCTTCATAACATTTTCCATAATCACGTAAATTTACATATTATTTTGTTGTTAAGAATGCATTGAATTTTCAATTTTAATAGCTAAGGCCTGAAAACGGAACACAGGGTTCTTCTTAAAATGTTATAACTGGCATTTAGAAATATGGAGATTACTTATTAGGTATGCACAATTTGTTTTATATAGAATCGAGTTACAACTATTGATACAATTACATTTTTAAACAAACACTTCATGACCTTTAATGATTTTTGTTATTTTGTTGTAATCAAAAAAAACACTAACCATATAGGGACAATGGGACATGAAATATACATATTATTTAATCATCTTTTTTTTATACTAAATTAAATTTTCTAAATATTAAGACTAATTTGAACTATATTTTATACCACCATTGTGCACCATTCTATACGGTAAGTCTGTATCCTGTATGGACATATAAGTTATAACTAAAGACCGGATTACCGTACAATTGCATATTTTTGGCATGTTATAAATCCTATAGAAACAAGCTACAAATCCAAATCTAGAGATGTAGATTAATTTAAATATAGTTTTATTTTGCACAAAATTGCAAGTTACTGGTTTTTTTTCATAAAAATGAACTAATTAGTATTTTTGTTCAAATATTTCTGCTCTATTGTTTATAAGTATATACATGAAGTAATAGATAGAATTAAGAAAATTGACAATTTAAAGGTACAAAATATATTCAAAGCTGTATTTGATAAAAATCTCGGGTAAAATTTTTTAAAACGATACAATGATTCAATAAATTGAAATTACATAGATTTAAAAGAAGATCCTGCTATTAAAATCCGCTATAAAAAAAAGCCCGATAGCAAGTGTCAATGTAGAACGTGTGCAGTTTCACAATATTAAATCACATATTAAGTGACAGAAGTCATAATTTTACAGTAAAAAACTTAGAAATGTACCAACATGATAATACTTATACATTTTAATCAAATATTGTAAATCAATTTAAATTGTATATTTTTAAATTGGGTAGTTTATTTCAATTAAATTAAATTAAAACTTTTTTTTTTAAATTTTATATTTATATATTATAATATTTAATAGTGAATGCCGACTAATAAATAGTAATATTATAAAAAATAAATAGCAATAAAAATAAAATTTGAAGTTAATAAATTTGAAAAATAATTTGTTATATAGTTCCTAATAAAAATTGTGTTTTGCAAAATTTTGCATATTTTGCAATTGTACGTTTTATAGGTATTAGCCGCACAAAAATCCCGTCTTTAGTTATAACTTAAAAGTATGTACCTAATGATATAATAATTAATGGGTATATCGTATTTGATATTAAATATAATAATATTATATGATGTTTTTGTCAAAGGTTATAGATTTCCCTATCCTGTATTGCTAATCGTAATATAAATAGATTATAAAATATCCTTAGAAAGAGTGTTTGACACCTCGCTCCACCAGTAGCGTAGACATGATTTCTGAAAGGGGGGGGGGATCAAAAAAAGAAAACGACATAACTAAATGAGAGGGGAAAATTGGGAAATCCCCCACCATCTCAAAACTTTTTACTTAGATACTAAAATATTTAACAAGAAGAAACAATGTATATGATTTGAATTAATTAAAAATTCACATCAAACACAATATGGAAGATTATACACTCCAAAGCCAATAGGAGGGGATCTGACCCCGCGTCCCCCCCTTGTCTATGCCACTGCGCTCCACTCAAAATCGTTTTTGGTGTTCAATATATATAGGTAAACCACAACTAAATATAATAACCATTACAACAACCTAGTACCTACTCAATTATGATTTTCACTCGACTCCTAATAGGTATACAGAAGAGAGACTTCCATGTTTTTTTATTCTTCAAATTACTAACTTAATAATATTACACTTGTCACCTTGTCACACTACATATGCATCTCTTCCATCACCACAATTATGATCAAATGGCACGCCAGTAAATGACGACACTAATTTATCAAAATTCTTAAACAGCACATATTTTGTAAGTACATACTCAAATTCCAACATTCAAATAAATGTTCAATTAATATTTATAATTGGTTGTACTTACCTACCTACGGTTTGATACTAGCAGTGAGAACGATAATTTTATATATTCCTACTCATATTATTATGGTAGGTACCTTATGTTAGTAGGTACTTCTCGCTATTACAAAACTTACGTAATAATCACATTTTTTAAATTACACTAGAATACAGTTCTTAGTAGGTACTTCATTGTGTACCTACATACGTCAAACATGTATTAATTTGTATGTACTTTTAATAATAATAATATTTTAAATCATATATTAATGTTTCTAGATATTTGTATTTATTTAGTAAAACATATTATTGCTGATCAAATTAAAAAATTCATAATTGGTTAAAATATACCTATTTCCGATACTAAGATCAACGATGAATTTATTGATTTTAAAATGATGTGTATGTGTTTTTTTACTTTTTTGTTTATTTTTCACCACTTTTTGGAACAGTAAAAATGCTTTTATTTTCAACTTTTCTGGAGGTTTTTGGTAGAAAATTCTATCTGGTTGGTACTTTGGATAAAATAATTGTCTAGTAATTCTCGAATGATCTTTGAGAAACAAATAAAAAGTTAAAAAAAAAAAACAAACAAAATTGGACAAAATGTATTTTATTCTTTTGCTGTAATTCTTAAATGAATAACAGTTGATATAAAAAACTTGAAGTTCTTACCAAATTTTAATATTAGGATTTACTAGATATAAAATAATTTTAAAATATGTTGCCTCTTTTTATGCTATTTATAGGTATTTAAAATTTTCAATTTTTACTTAAAATTTATATAGAACAATAATGCATGATATAAATATATAATAATTTGTAATATAATAATTAATAAAATAATAAATGCAATGTTTTTGGCAAAGATTAATTAAACCTACCGTATTACTACGATATTATAGCAATATAAATGTTTAACCAAAATATATACCTACTTAGTAATAATACGATGATAAGTGACAGATCATCTCCGCTCAGAATCGTTTTTTGTATCGTAATGCAATGACTTATCATTGAATTTAAATTTAACACATCCATTAAAATGACTTACTCGATGATGAAATATACTCGACATCTATTATACATTTGTACCTATATAATAGATTAGTACTTACCTATTTTTCAAATTTGTATATTTTATACATATTTTTTTTTTTTACAGATAGGAGTGATTTTGTAGGTGGTATTGACAACGAAGCTTTGGATTTCAGTCATTTGACTGACGAGTTCATTCAAAATAATAATACAGAAGCCAATCAGTAAGTATATATTTAATATACATTATTTTTTAATTCTATAGGTACCTATGCTGTTATGTAAATACAATAAAATAGTATTGACAAACAAATTTATCTTACGTTACAATAAGTATCAGACGATTCATTTGAATTAAAACTAATAATTTTAATAAAATATTGATTGTACATAAATAATTGTCATATTAAATTATAGTTAAGGACTTAATAGGTACCTATACCTATTATTTGTTAAACGAATTGTACTTGGATACTAATTATAATAATTTCTAACAAAATTCTTTTTACTACTTAGATCTTATTTTAATTACTAATATAAAATAAAAATATAACGTCAGCGTGGTATTCAACTTATATCAGTTAAATATTAGCAAGTTGATACACGACTAACATGTTTTGGATTAATACAACTACTTGGAATATGATGTTCTTTGGCTCTAGCCCTAACTATTATAAATAATTGGTGTTGGTCTGCACTCTGTATTTCTGTATTACAAAACTAACAAAGACGAATATGCTAAATATTATATATTAATATATTATTATTCATAACTCATAAGCATATAACAGCTGCCAGCTTGTATAGGTTTAGTTTCTTGAATATTCTTTAAATACCTACGTTAATTTTTTTTCTCGCACATGTTGTTTAAATGAAATGTACAATAACATAATAATGTAAATTTCTAATTAGCAAAATAGGTAAGAACGACTTACTAAATATTAGCCGTATACTATATTATGTTTATCATAATAATATTTATTATGCATTATAATACTCCTATTTATAGTCCTATACACGTTTAATGTATATTATAATTATTATTATATTCAGCACTGGATTTTTATTACAGCGACGCTTCCAGCCTCCAGGCGTTAGATTTACTTTCAGTGCATTATAATAATAATAATAATAATAAAATGAAAGACAAAAACTTATATAATGGCGACCCCCTGAGAAAATGTTCTCCTTGAGCATTGTTTTGTTCGCTTTCAGATTAATCCAACATTGATACATAAAATACGAATACAGTACCTTATATTATTGTGTATAATAGTATCATATTTATGTAGGGATTGCTGACTTTGAGTGGCTGGGGAGAGCTGTTTTTAAGAATTAATAAGTACATTGACCAGAGGAAAATTGTAACGCTAATCAATTATCTATACCGACTATACCTACACATCAATATATAATTTTGAACTTACAAATATGAAGCAATACGCTTAAATATTATAAATATTATAATAGATTTCTGTAATATAATTTGTTTTCAGAATTAACTTTATAAACATTTTTATTATAACATAGGCACGTAATATAACGAAAAAAAGTTCCAATTAGTTACAACCAATGAATTACTTAATACATTGTACTAAACAAAAACCTAAAAATCAACTGCTGCGTATAACATCCCTGAAATAATTAATGATAAGTTTGAATCATTGTTTTCTTATCTGATTTTTGTTTTCAAAGATTCTTTCACGAAACCGTCGACCAAAACGATCACGTGATGGTTCGAATAAACACACCATATCAACAAGAGCCACCTCAGCTTTTCTTGAAAAGCGCATCGATACCGCCGATCGCCGACTTGTCATTCCACAGTAATACTGTTTTGTCCAATGCCGGTCTGCCTAGTAAGCCGGTCAAGGATAAGTCACACAATTACACCAACAGGTTCGTTTAGTTGTCTTAAGCATTTGAAAATATACTGTTTTTTTTTTTTAAATTTAATTATTCATTCACCTAGGCACAACTTACCAGAAAGTCCGCCAGACTCTGAGCCACCATATTCGCCAGCCGATGGCGTTGGCCAATCTCCACGTAAGAAGGTTTTATTTAATATCATCCCTTTTCCAATTGGAAATTCTTGTTTCCGAAAACTGTTGCATTTTCGAGTTATTTTCGATTTCTAGATCGAAGAACGCCTAATTTGCAATGTCTCATATCGGCCAACAAGGGTCAAATACCAATGAACCCCGGGACCACTGGGCTCTATCAGAAACAAATCGTAACCACTAAAATTCCACACCCGTTGTCCGTCCAACCTTTGTTGATAAACCAACCAGGATCGTCGTCCCACGTCACACATTTAGGTTGGTACATTATTATATAACTGAATTTTGAAGGTTTTCAATGTGACCTAATCCGATGATGCCCATTGCCCCCTAACTTAACACGGTCAAAATATAGGTATTCGTTACAAAATCACCGTTTTTTTTCAGATTTTAATCAAATGCCTAACGCGAGGGAAATCGAAATACCCGAACCCGAATACACGGACTTGTTGAACGTAACTGTGACGGAAAAGAAGCGAAAACTTTGTGCGGACATTATTGGAGGAAGTACCGGTGGTAGCAACGTCCGCGTCAAAAAAGAAACCGGTAAACAATGATATTATGATATTAATAATATCGATGCCTATATAATTTACAAAATAAGTGACTATAGGTACGACTTACGACTTTTCCAACTTATTTTCACGTTATATGTTTAGAAAATTGCGTGAAAAAACCCATAACTCACGTGTCGCCGTCGGGAAGATCGGTTTGTAGCGAAGACAGTTACACGTACCAGGATAGCTGCGAATCGGGTTTGTATAACGACACGAGTTTTCAGTGTATCCGATTCCAACCATTCCAAGAATCGTCATGGAACACTCTGTGCGATCATTCTTTAAAGGAACTGTACGTATTTAATATTTAATGCACATTAATCTGTACGATTGTTATTAATTGTTACTATATTATACCTATTATCTTCAATAAATATAATTATTCTCTGTAGAACACTCAGCACGTCTAGTTATTTATTAGGGTGGTTGATTTCAAAATTCAAAGCGTTCATAGTAATTATTAATATATATATATATTTTTTATAAAGATACTCAGCTGTAGAGTGATTATTGAAAAAGTTCAAATGAAGGAAAGCTCCATAAAACTTAAAAAAAAAACCATTTAAATTATTATTTTGAAAACCTAGAAAATGCGTTATGTTTGTTTTAAAAAAAGGTTTATATGTACATAATATATAGTTTAGCAGCTACTATGATTATCACAATTTACAGTTGGTTAAAAATTAAATATTATATGTGGTTTAATATATGAAAATTTAAAAACCAAAATATGAGAAATTATAATTTAAAAAGTGAGTAAGTACGAAACCGTTCGACAATACTGTAGGTACCAACTAGATCTAACTGTCTACCAGATACACATTTGAAGTTAAAGAACGAACATTTTTTTATAAATGTTATAAAAATGTTTTATGTTACACTATAAATCGTATGCGCAAACAGAAAAAACAGAAAACCACACATCAATGTAAAATCAATGCACTAATCGCTCAGCTAAAAATCTAAAATACACAATGTATGTTTAAAACAAATAAATTTATTACTTACTATAATATGGGTTTTTTTTAAAAAAAGAATATGAACGGAGAAAATAATGTCACCAAAATGTATAGTATAAAATCAATATTTTTGTTTAAGAATTAATTTTTTGGGACTGTAGTGCGATTATGGTAGCTAGAAATTAAAGGAAAATATTATTTATATAGTGTTTATACATTTAAAATATATTTTAGGCCAATACCACATTATAGAGTGGATGCGGATAAAGGCTTTAATTTTTCCAACGTCGACGACGCATTTGTGTGTCAAAAGAAAAATCATTTTCAGGTAAATATTATATTTTAAAGAGTTTTTTTTCGTAACTGTTTTTAACTGAAACATGAATTTACTGCTCAGATCACATGTCATACACAACTGCAAGGCGATGCACAGTTCGTAAGAACCACTGAAGGAATTCATAAAGTCGGCAGTTTCCATTTACACTTTTACGGTGTTAAGGTGGAATCGCCTGGTCAAACAATTAAAGTAGAACAGTCTCAGAGTGACAGAAGCAAAAAAGCGTTTCACCCAGTTTTGTAAGTATAAACTATAGCAACTACGTTTAGTCTGATATTACAAAAGTATCAAGGACCTACCTGCACTATATAACTTGTAACTTGTAAGTAATAATAATGTTAAAACGTCTGACAATATTCTGACCACTGTCAATAATATATTTTATTGATTTGCTCTGCTCTATTATTTATAATAATAATTGACTAACTACTTTAATTTGTATATATTTTCGTTTATTTCTGAAGAGGTTTTTAAAATGAGTGTAGTCTTCTAGCCCCCCCCCCCCTCTACGAGATAGAACATATTTGACTGGTAGTAGTAGTCCAATTTAATTGTAATACCTTGACTAATGTTTGTGCAATCATTTTAAAAGGCTGGACTTGCGCGAAGAACAAGTGTCCAAGGTGACGGTGGGCCGATTGCATTTCAGCGAGACCACCTGCAACAACATGAGGAAAAAAGGAAAACCGAACCCGGACCAGAGGTACTTTTACCTGGTGGTGGGCCTGCACGCGCACTGTATCAACGACCACGACTATCCGATCGTCTCGTACGCATCCGAGCGGATAATTGTCAGGGTAATCCAAGTAATTATGCTAGACTGATTATAATATTGTATGTTGCTTACTACCCGCCGCGACGGGAAATGGCTTCTCGAAATGTACGTATACGGCGGCCAGTGGCATTTTTTTTCTTGTTTTCTTTCTCGCACCCAAAGGCTTCGAATCCGGGCCAGTTCGAGAGCGATGCGGAACTGTGCTGGCAACGGGGCACCACGCCAGAGTCGATTGTCCACACCGGCAAGGTGGGCATCAACACGGACCGGCCGGACGAGGCGCTGGTCGTCCATGGAAACGTCAAGCTCACGGGACACATCATTCAACCTTCAGACATCAGGATCAAACAACACATACAAAAAGTGAGTTTCAAACCATGTAAGCGCAAAACGCGTTCAAATTTTTCTTTTTTTTGGGGGGGGGGGGTAGGTTCAACTTTTGATAAATACGTATATATATATAATATAATATATGTTATATATCATAGAAGTTATGAGGGCTACACATGACTATATCATTTAACCTCTATAATGGCTCCATACCCATTTTTTAAAATTTTTAATTTAGAAATATTAATAAAAATAAAATATTTTTGAGGCTAGTTTCTAGTCTCATTATATCTGACTTGTATACGAAATTAAGATAACTTAGCCTTTACATTGTAGTATTATAACATTATATTATAGGTACTGCTATAATAGTATGAGTATAAATAATGTGCTTTGTGTATTCAACTATTTACAGTAGCCATTGGCCTAAAATTTGTAAATATTTCTGGAAGTTTTGAGAAATTTTATGAACTTATTACTATTATTAAGCCATCGTTATAATTTATACTTCATGTGTGAAGAGGTCTCCAGTACCTTGAAGGAGATAACAAAATATGGAGCTTATATAGGTGAAATTCTTGGTTTCCGGTATATAACGTACCAATGACACTGGACTGAGCACCATAGATAATATATTATACGATACTGACATCCCGGGCGGAGATTGAATGGGAAAATATTATACATAATATTTTAAACTTATAATCTAATAATATGTCATAATATATTAAGTTTGTCTAAATGAATAATACATATTTGTAGAGGAATAATATTTTACAATTTTAATTTATAATATAATATATGTACTAGACTCAAATCCTGTAAAGTTATGATGTATAATATTCCAATATTCGACGTATAATCGATCTTTTCATTAAAATTTATCAACTTCATGAAGTGGAAACGGCATTTTCACACTTGGTAAAATACGAACATTTTTCACGAAATGGTCTGTCCAATTTGACATTGTGTAATTGTTTTCACAATGGGGTCATCCAATATCCCCATTGTAAATTGTGCAGGTACTGAATAATACCATTATTGTTCAATTTATTAATAATATACTCAATGATAATACATATAAATGTGTTATTACTGCACCCAACTATTATTAATTAATAATAAATTATTATCTAATATACCGTGTCCGTTGAACGATTTTACACTTGCATTTAAGTTATATTTATTTAAAATTAAGTTGATATTTCATAGTAAATTAAATTATTACATGAAAGTAACTGTTTAAATCATTTGAAATCTGCATAATGTAAATATTTTTTAAAACACCTACACAAAAGGGGAATAAGAATTAATTATGTAGGCGTACTGTTATAATATTTTGGTATTTTTTTTTTTGAGTAAGATAACGAGTAGTTATGACCATGGATATTACAGAAAATTAATCTCCAAATTTTGATAAAAATTATTTAATGTTATGGAATTACCGTTTCATGAAATACAATAATTTTCTAACATATTTGTATATATCACGAAACGTGATAAGACCATTTAAATGTCATGAAAAAATCGATTTCACTATATGGATATGATAATTTACATAGAAATATGTGAAAAATGTATATCAAAAGATATAGTTGTCAGACATTTTTTATGAAAAGTTATCTGTAGGTATACCTTATTTGATATTATTTCTTCTTAAATAATTTACTTTTAAGGGTTTTTCTGTTCAAGTTTTGATCTAAATGAAAAATAACAGGTATTCATCAATATTCAATTTGTCAAACAATTTTACACACATTTTAGGATTTATTATGAAACATTAAAGTATGCACTAACAAATACAAAAGGTACCATTTGTAACGAAACGAATAATGCACTCAGTTAAAAGGGCGTCGTACCAGCATATTATGATGTATCTGTCTAACAACTAACAAACTTGTAAAATAGAAAATGTCACAGATTCTTACTCCAGTTTATTTATAGTTAATATTAGATCTAATTTATATATTATTGTCAAATATAAACAATGATCTATCGGAGTTTTTTTTCATGTGTTTATTTTAAAATTATCAGTTTTAAGTAGGTAATAAAATAATTTAAATATATATAGTTTACTAGATTTAAATTTAAAATGAGAAAAAAAACTCTTTGCTCGATCACAACTTATTATGTTTTTACAAATTCGGCGATAAGTTAATTTATTCTAGTACCTTTCAGCAATTAATTATAAATAAACTGTAGTAGGAATCCGGAAGGTTTCCGGACAAGGTGTGTGTAATACAGAGACAGCGGATATGACGCCCTCTCAAAATGTATCATAGATCAACCAGAAAAAATATACTGGCCACCGGATATAATATTATACCTACGCAAATCCACTCGTGGGGGGTACCTACCTAATAATTGACTAACACACATCCTAGGTGTAATCATATTTAGAATAATGTGTGATTTATATATTTTTTAATATATAGTGCGACACAAGCGAGCAGCTGCGTAACGTGCAGAAAATAAACGTGGTTCATTTTAGCTACAAACCGGAATTTTCGTCGTTGTTCGGGTTGTCTCTGAAGGAAGCTGACACCGGGATCATAGCACAGGAGGTGCAAGCCGTTTTGCCAGAAGCCGTCACCAACGCCGGTGGCATAGCGCTGCCCAACGGAATTGTGTACGACGACTTTTTGGTCGTGAACAAAGTGCGATATAGTCGATTGGATTACATTATTATTGCTGCAATATGGCCAGTGGTGTTCCCATAGGGTACATTGCATAATACAATTATTTTAAGCCGTAAAAGCTCACAAGATATTTTTTTCCCAACGGCGTCGAGTCATTTCCGAAAGTGTCTTTTTCGACGATCGACAAAACCGTGCGCAGTCATTGACAATTTTTAAAACAAAAAAAAAACAGTTATAATTATAACGATTTTAGTACCATATAATTGATAATACCTACTTTAAGTTTTCTCGAACATAGAAACTACAGTTTCTAATCATCGGTGTAAACAAATATTGTAGCGTAAGATTTAAAAAGTCACCCTAACAATAGAAAAATATGAAATTACGAAAATAATAAGAATCTGAGTATCCTGACATGATAATTATAGGTATCTATAGGTACATTTCATAGACAATGCATATTATAAGCTTATTTTGGACAAACAGTTAGTGGGAACGCAAATCATGACTACTTGGCACTCTCTGTATAGCATATACCAAAATAAATTAAAATACGTAGACAATTCAACTTACCACCCATATGTGCATATAATGGCAGCTTTCCTAAAAATCAACAACTAAACATATTTTTAGATTATTTTTTAAACAATTAATAAGAAAAAATATATTTTCCTCCTTCACGTTGGAATAATTGTCATAGAACAATCAATAGGCTATAAGAATGGCGTAGGCAACTTAATATCACTAAACTTATTAGTTTTTACTTTATATTAGAAAAGGTAATTTGCATAATATGTAAATACAAGTGCACAACGTGCCATACACAACGCGTAAATATTAGATGGATATTTAACTTGGACTGCTACACTAAAAACAAAAATAAGTGTACAAAAAGAGATTCAAATATATGTAAATAATATATCAGATCAGTTAAAGACACATTTAATATTTAAAGACAACAATTTAGCTATATACGATGCTTATATCGTATGCTTAAGAAATTTAAGTAATATATTCAAAAGTTACACTATTAGATTATAAAATATTTTTCAAATATCAACATCCACAATTTTTTTTAATAATATACCTATGTTTATTTTATTCACATTATTGTCAATATTGTAATTATATCGAACATTTATTTACGGACGACAATTTATAATCGTAATGACGGTTGAATAAAATGTATTTTATAATGAATAGTTAATTACATATTATTATGTATACATTTTTATAATTTTTGAAGTTTATTAAATTTCTATGTCACTTTTATTTAAAGTATAGGTTAGAACTTAAAATGTAAAACTAATGATACTTTTTTAAACTGTAGGTCAGAACTCAAATGTAAAACCAATGAAATTTTTTTGAATGGTAGGTCAAAGGTTAAATTTAATTTGTCTGACATAAATGCATAAAAAGTGGCATCGTTGGTAATAGCACGTAACCATTTTTTTTTCTTGAATCACTTGAGTGCGTAAGGGTTAAAATAACGGGGAACGGGTCCCGTCGGTCTTTCTGATTGAACTGGCGGTAAAGTTCGAAACTCGCCCGAGTGGGTTGACGTTGGAGTTATTATGACTGCACCGGAAATAATAGGGCGAATCCTTTGGATTATTTGAGGACAGACCCTCTGTAAACTTATTTAATTCCTTAATTTATATAAACCTGGTAGGTACCTACTGCAGGTTTTAGGAAAAATATTGCATCTTAATTTTATTTATAGTCGTCAACACTTCTCCAAATAATGAAATAACCATCACTAAAATATCAAATATTCATAGTCCGACACTCGACGGTTTAGTATACTTTTAAAGCGATTTGTGGGAACGTCACTGGATCATTCGCTCGTATATATTATTGTTAAACGCAATCTTCGGACCTTAAAACATATTATATTAAAAATATATTTTTAACGCACAGGATCGGATCTTCATGGAGAATATCGGAGCTGTAAAAGAACTGAGCAAGATCACCACCCATTTGGAAGCTAGAATAAGTGAGCTCGAACAGGATCACAAGCGCTGTTTGCTGTTAGCAGACAAACATCCGGGTATAGCGCTATCGGATTTAACCAGTGAGTATCGATCGATCCATCATGAGCTAAAACTGCCTTGGTGTATAATATTTAAGACTGAAATGAGTATTCTCGAAACTGGTTGGCTCCGGAACTCCTCCTTATCCAATCTTCAGGTGGGTTCTTTTTTAAAATTCGTAGAGCACACGCCGCACCGTGTAGCATGTCCTAAGCAAATTGTTAATTTTGTTTTTATCTGTTTGAGGTAAATATAATTAGTTTAAATCATACCTCCTAATATTTACTTATGGCACGATGAAATACCTCTTTTGTAAGTTTCCACTGGGAGTTGGTTGTTGTTTTAAACGTTATTTTTTTGTTTTTAATAATGGGCAAATAACGGAAGAGCTACCTGTATGAAATAATATTATAATATCAAAATTCATTACTTAATATAATATTATTTTAAATAAATTAACCACGAGAACCACAGCGTATTTATTTTTTTTAATTAGCTTGTTGGTTTATAGTTATTTTTAACTGAGTTAATTTATAATATTTACCAATTTTCAGATTGTCGTGTCAATATCATTATTAAACTTTAAAGAAAACAAATTACCTCGAGACTTCTTTTCATTTGTTTTTCATTTATAGATATAAAAGTGTACACCTATCAACAAAACATACCTTTATTCCCCATTAGAGTTAAATATTATAATAATATTTAAAGTTAATGACAAACGTATCTAGTTTTTTGTTTTGGTGTAAGAATCTTAGCATTTTAAAGAAAGGCTTACACAGGACTTTGCGGGTTCACGTTTTTTGTTTGTATATGGTTGCTATTGGTTACAGAAAGTTAAATAATTATTGTGGTTGGATATAATTTTAGACGTGTATTTTATATTCGGTCAAAATATACCCAAATAACCATGTCAAAAATCTGTCAAATTTACATTTGACTGAGCTTAAGAAGGGGTTAAACCACGGGTTTGTCACTGGTAACGCTATGCAGGATCAGCTATTCATAATACAATATGTAAACAATAAACATGTCACAAAATATTGCGTGTATTGTAGTGATTGGCATATTGGATAAAGAATTGTATTTACGAATAAAAACCGTTTCTGTTGTACACAACTACAGTCATTAATGTACACTGTACATATTATTATTATTATATACTTGCGTTTTTTGTGTATTCCTCATTATTTGTTTCCATTTTAGCCACGACCTATTCTAGCAAGCACAACGATTACGATTCCAGTGTCGAAAAACATAAACTGTTAAAACCAACGAGTTCGAGTGATGTTAACTGTGGGAAATTTGTGCAAATTTCCATTATCTCTCTTACTGTGGTTATCGCGAGTTGGTAATTAAACTTTTGACTTAATATCGATAGTACATGATGTGTTCTAACATGATATTTTACCAATTCATAAAACCGAAATTTTCAGTTTGGTTTTCATAACTGGACTATTTTTTATGGAACACCATTCCAGAAGTCAACTCACATTCACAAGTGAACATGAGCTGTGAGTACTATTGATTCTTACGTATTTTATTATATCTTTTACGCACAACGGCTGTATCGATTAAAGTTTGTAAATATATTTTTCACGAGCTGTACCTACACAGCAATAAAATACTTATAACATTCAATAAAATAAAATTGCATTCAATCGTATAATGTACATAAATTATACAATACGTATAATATTATGTTTAAATATAATTATCTATTATAATTTATAACTATTATTATTAGCCACAGGTAACGTGAATACAAATAATTATTTTATTTTATTTATTTATTTAAATTTTCCAACAGCATCGTCAAACCGTTGAATATAAATGCAATTCAGGCCCACGAGAGTGTTGTTCAGCCGAAGGACACCGGTCAATTACCGTTGGAAATAGACGGGTTTTTCGACAAAGACAAACATTTGACCTGCATGCGGCTTAGGCGACTTGTAACCAACAGCATGAGTTGTGAAGTATGCTAATAATATATAAGCGATAATAATGATAACAAATTAAGACCATACGTTTTGTAAAATGTTTGGAAAGCTCACTGCCAAATTGATTTGCACCTATAATATGCTTACTACAATATAGTCGCCCACTACCCTTGTCAATGGTCAAAGACTGAATTACCGACACAATTCCTACTTTATACTTACGTTAGTAATATAATTTTAAGGATGTCCACGCCCGGTTTAAGGATAAAATATAATCATTGTATATTTAATGGGTTTCCCATCTTCCGATCTCCACAAATTATTAACATTTAACCATGGGCTTAAATCAGAGGCATAATTGTGCTTAGCATTTAAAAAAACTTCTGAAGTCCACCCCCCAAAAAAAACATATTTCTCAGCTAAACCTTGTCAGCATAATACAATATTATGTTACCTATAGTTGTAGTATTATTCACAAGTCCACGACTTTAAACGAGCTAATTGATATTTCTAGCTCCCCTCTAGATTTTTAACTATATTTATTATTTACGCCTATGCGTCTGGCGTGTTCAGGCTGTGGTCCGGTCGTAGTTAAATTATTAATACGTGGTATTTGTGATGATTATAGTACGACAAGATCAAAACAAAAATGAATAAAATCGCCGATAAAAAAAAGGAAGAGAGCAAAAATGACGATGAGTTCATACGTTTTATCGTCAAAATCGACCGTGTAATTGGTACGTATATTTTTGTTATCTAACACAATTAAGTTTCATTATTAATATATTAAGAATACACCATTATTCTCATTAATTCAAATAGTTAGTAAGACTACTGAGACTACTACTATGCCTATAAGTACTAATCAGCAGTCACAATTTGACCGGTGCACTCACAGAGTGGCGTAGTTCGACCAACTAACTAAGGGATTTTTTGACAACGCTAACCCTTGGGGGAGGGGGCTTTGTTTAAATAAGGTTTTACCGATGGGACACTTAACATAACGTGTTAATTAAACTATTTTTTCCAGCACTTTTGCAGTACCTATAAATAGAAATATTTTATAAAGTCTAGGGAAATGACATTGAATCATTTTTATTATTTTTGAAATTTGTGATGAGTTCAGGAGGACAACCCTCCTTATTTCCATAAAAAAAATTACCATTGCACTCACGACCAATCTGAGACTTTGTAGTTTAAACTTTTATGTTGATGTGATTATTGAATAACATTCAAATAACATAGTTGCAAATATAATTATTTATATTCCTGCAGTTAGGGATCGAAGTAATATAGTTAATCCTGTATTAATTTTTTTCGAAAATTCGTCGTGGGTGGCAGTGGTGTTCCCAGGAATTTTCAGTGGAGGGAATGTTATAACTAGAAATACATTTAAATTAATTGCGGTTGGTGGTAATACCAAAGACACAAATAACGGGATTTATCGGCCCAGGGAGGGGGGACATAACCCCTAACATCCCCCTGGGCAAGATAGTGGTGAATAGTGCTGGGGGAAAGGAAACATTTTGACGTGTTGTTGTAATGATAAACACCGCAGCACGGCCTTTTCCCCGACCGGACCGTTTTAACTTTTAATCCATCAACATTTACACATTATTGTTTAGACATCGTGTACAAGGACGTCACGATCGGCGTGTATGGCAGTTACAGTAACTTTACGGCGGAAGCCAACGTGACGGACGAATGTGGCCGGTCGGAACTTCTCCAACAATGTAGCGACAAGTCGCTGTTCGTGTACGGGTTCCAACTTCCGGTCACCAAACAACTTACCGACTATTTTATAAGCGTATCTTATCGGCAAGTGTAGTACAAAATATAAATTATATTACCTACTTGTTAGTTGTTTTATACGTCGTACACTCATACGTCACTAAACCCTATTAATACGTACCTTATACCGTAGCCAGTATCCCGTCCGGTATATATAACTTTCTGTTTTTCTGTTTAGGCCTATGGGAAATAAAAAACACCACATTGGTCTCCATATACTATATAGTTACAGCTAAGTATACAATTACGTGGCTGCATCTTAAAAACAATATTGATATTGATATAATAAAATCCAATATTATGGCATAATAGATGTTACTCATATTCATATACACTCCCAATCACTGTTAATATTTTATTTTTATATTTACGTACGACAGGTAACTTTCACAACTAACAAATGTTTCGTTATTGTACACTGTACAGCAACAGCAAAAGCGTCAAACAAAAAATAATAGTTATGCATAATTTATATTCATAAAATAAAATACATAATATGGGAATGACGATAATACACAATTATTGTGATTCATCGAAAAGTTAAATATGTAATTCAAAAATTAGTAGTTCAATTCGCTGGCAAAGGGATAATGATTCTTATTTGAAAATATAAAGTTTGTCTTAACATTCGCCATAGGACACTCTTTAAATTGTATAAAAAAAATAAAAGTGTGGTGTAAGGAGTACAAACTACACGCATGTGAAATGAAACTTCTTAAGAAGTTTTATCAAGAAAAAAGGGAAAATTTCAATTTTTAGAAAAATATAATAATATTAATTTGTATCAAGAAAAACACAATTTCAATTTTAATCTGTTAGAGCAATAACTTGTTCAATATACAATAACACCGTATTGTATATTTAGAATATTAATAGGTATATAAATTAAAATTAAAAATTATACCTATTGTTTCGATTTCGATTAATTGATTCTTAGTTGGCATAATCGGTGTCCCACAGTTATTGCTAGTAGCTTATGACAATTAAAATAAGATACCTATGTGGTTTTTTCTTGAATATTATTGAGACTCCGTATAATGAAAGCGTCGATTATTATGGTGACCGATTTCGTAGTCGGTGTTGTTGGGTTCATAATATGCAAACTCAATGTTTAATATAACGAATTGTTGAGTGGCGCCCAGTCAGCTGGTGATGTAAAATTTACATTTAAATTCCCACTCATGATCATTGTATATTAAATTTTATCGCCACCATAGTATATAGCCAAAATAATGATTTTCCTCTATTCCGGCATCAATGTAATCAGATATTTCCATTTTATTCTTGCAGGTACCTATTTTGGAATTTCTTGCACCGATTTATTTGCTGTGATCTGTTTTCACAGATCATTCGTTGGCACTTGTTTTCTTTTTTTTAACTATACAATAAAATTTAAAAAAAAACAGTAGTTCAGCTTAATGGTCGAACATTACAGTATTTTTTATAGGTACCTATCTGAAAAAATAAGTTGCACTTCAAACTTAAAAATAGTAAACTTCAGAGTTTCAAAAGATCAAAATTCGAATAAATTAATTATTAAAGACAAACAAAGTGGATAAGTAGGTATCTAACCGCTCTGCTGTACAGTAGTTTGTTGACGAGTGAACCACGATGTCATTGAGTAGGTCACTGTAATGGATATGTCAAATTTGAATTTAAAAAAATGCCACCACTCACTCAAAACTACAGCCCTTTGACTACGGTTTGGGGTCACTATGTATAATATGACGTTATAGGTACTCCTCGTATCATATACAGCACTAACGAGTAATGGAAATAATAATAACATTATCAATAACAGTTTGTTGGGTTTCAGCATAAGCAAAGGCAGCCTGAACAGTTGTCCGACCAGCATGTCCGTGTCGACGACTTGTCCGTCGGACCCGTACACCAGTCTGTGGGCGCTGAACGGCACTCGACGGAATCCGTCAGAAACTTCATACGATTGGCAGACCGACAAGTATTCAGTTTCCGAAGACTCGGAATCGGTTACCGTAGTCGTCCGGTACAAGCCGTGGTCGTACGAAAAGTTGAAGGTAACTTACTCGCACCTTACATCTATGTTGGTGTATACAAAATATATGTAGGTACATTAAAACTGTATACAGCGATATCACAATATCATATTGTGTGTGTGCAGTGGCCAAGAAAAATAACTATTTTTTTTATATATTATTGTTTCATAGAATAGGTACAGCCGATACAGAATAAAACAATTTTATTTATTATGGTCTAAGCATAGAAAACGTAAGAATTAAACGTGCACATTGCGTTTTATTATCTCAATGCACTAAAAGTATGAAAAATATCATTGAAAATTATCATCTAATTAGGTATTCAAAAACAATTTTTTAATTGATATAAGTACCTATTAAAGAAGTAGGTGTTTAAAATTTTAAACAATTCATATTATAATATTTCATATTTTAAAACTAATTGATCAACATCTTGCAAATAGTAAATGTACCTACTTATATAATGTCTGGTACTCTGGTCTTTAAATATATTATAATATTATCATAATAAATACTATCTGGTCTGCAGTTTTCCGAAATGGAAAAATATCGTTTTCGTAATGATTTCGTAATTTTTGAATATTTATATAATACATTTTAATTTACAGGGGTCATGCAGGTCACCGGAAGACAAACGGACCTTGGCCATCGTCGAGTACACCATCTCTCTGCACAAGGATTTCAGCGAGATCGTGTGAACCAATATTAACATAATGATATATTATAATGTACCTACCCAATAAATTTGCGAACAAGGCGATGGAGTAATCGAAGACGAGACGGAAATAATTTGCTAAGCAGTTTAATCCGCTGGATGTTGGGAAACTATTATAAATATTGCAGTCTATAATATTTTGAATTTGAATTTGAATTCTTCGTTTTTATTCTATTCGGTATCGACCGTAATTCTTTGAACCATAGATCTAAGTATTCGTTTTATCCATTATTGTAACTATTTAAAAATAAAAATGTTCAGTCGTCACCAACGGTGCCGTGTAAATTTGATCGATTTCGTGATTTTGTCGCACTTGTCGGACACATGGCACGACGTCCTATTTACCTTCACACATTGTACCTTTTGCTCACCTTAGTATATTTTAAAATTATATATTATTAAATAAGGCGCCTAACGTTACTCTCACCCTTTTTTCGTCTTAACAGTGTTATTATACAATCAAATACATTTTCAAAATAACAATGATCGCTATTTTCACAGTATATTTACTTGAGCATATTATTATATGTATAATATAGATTGTGTGTTTCTTTAATCGCGCACAATAATGGCCATATAGGTACAAAAAAATATTGATTTTGTTATTTATCTTTTACTATAATATATTATATTATATAGTAAACATAAAATACAGTTCGACAAAACGAACATTGGTAAATCGTGTGTTGTAGCGAAGGAGGCTTTCATCTACAATTATTATTATCATCATAGTATAATAAAATAAATGTATTATTATGTTTATTTGAGTGTTTGTCATACGAAATGTACGGCTTTTAGAATTCAAGATATTATTAAATGTTTTTTTTTTAAATTTTAAATTTAGAATTAGAAAAATTAATTTCGCTGTAGGTTTATATTTGTACAAATTGTTGTTTCTAACAACTATTATAATATTACGTTGTGTGAAAGGAGAAATCCGAAATGTTGTTTTAGTTGAGTTTTTTTAATCATGTTTTTCTCTTTGTTATCTTAAACAATCTAAACTGATTTTTAAATAGAACTATTATTCGAGGACACAATAATATGTGTAGCTTTAGAAAATTAAAAAAAAAAACATACATTTTTACATCGGTTTTTTTGTTTTGTTTTGTTTTTTTTTTTTAATAAAATATTGTATAAAAAACCAAAATAAATATTATACTGTGGTTTATTCTCTGACTAGAATAAGATTGTTGTTGTGTTTCCAATTGTCAGTCTATAGATTTCAAGCATTCTTTTGAAATAACAAAACAAATACATGGAAAATGTGCAAGTAACAGAACACAGCATTTCATATAAGTGCAAGTCATCGGTGTGTATCTCTGAGTAATCTTTTTGCTCAAATGAAGTTTTTAACGTTTTCTATTTTATTAGGTTAAGTTTTCAAAATCAATAATAAAATATAATTCATTAATATTGAAATCAACAAAACGTCTCCTCTCTCAATAACGTTTGGTACCGATTAAAAAGCGGTTGTGCAATTGTTATTCAGATTAGAAATAAGTGGACGGTTGAAATGTTGTATCGACTAATGTTGAGTTTTAAATGTCCGGTTACGTGGCCGTGGTTTATTCTATGGTTCATATCAAAAATAATAGTCTGTCACTAGTAGGCACAATATTAAACGAGCAGTGAAAAAGTCTTCATCGGTGTGATAATAGGTATTATCATTGATTATAGAATAGACAGATAGCCCATGGCATAGGAGTATTCAGCGACTAAAATTATATTTTAACGTGTTACCTACAGATGGCGTTGTATCAATTAGCAATTATTAATTACAACAACCACAATCGTTTATCGTGTTTGTTATCAATTATTTTTACCAAAATATTATCAACTAAGCAGTAAGCATGGTTGTATTATTATTTATTTTCGATTTTCAACTTTTCTTCTAACAGTTCTAACTAATCTAACTTGTTTCTACTTTCTTGTTTCTCATAGTAATGTTTCTACAGACTGTTCAGTAATTGAGTCTATATTTCGGTTTCGCTTTTTTCAGTTTACTAACAAATATACCCTTGAACGTGCCTCATATAAATCCAGCGATACAACTCAGTGCCGTAGCTAGAATTAGAAGTGCAAATTTAATCTGTGGGGCCCATTATTATCCATTGATATTTAATCTGAACATAATATTATAAAAAAGCAATAAATACCTACATATCAGACATCTGTATATCACGTAGAAATTTGTATTGTTTGAAGTATAGAATCTTAATAATGTTATATACATTTCAAAGTATAAATGTAATGCCACTTACCACACATCTATAACATTTTAACTGGATTATAGGCCACTACAAATAACAACAAACGGCAATTATCATTATTCTACTAATATAATTCAAGATTTTGACATTTTTTTTTTCAAATGAGTGTTTTTAGTAAATAGTAATGTTCCGCCACATAAACAACATAGTATAGATAAACCTATAAAACAACTACTTTAAGTTGATACCTACTTGATAATATAGCACCTGTGAAGTAGGTACCTACTCAAAATATTATGATCTTTTTAAAAAATAATTTGTTATAAGTGGTAGTATAGGTAGGTAGGTACAGATGATTGATAACTAGACACTCATATTCAGCTTAATCAGTATTCAATTTTAAAAGTACTGAGTTAATCTTTACTACTGGACCTAAAAATTAAAATACATCATAATATTTCAAGATACACACTTTTTAATTCAAATACTAAGATTGATATGATGCTAAGTTCACTTACACCTACAACCTGCTAAATAATTCTGTTGTTTTTGACAAGGCATGGTGTTGGAAAAAAAGAAAAATATCAGTTATTTATTTAATAATATTATATTATAAATTACAATGCTCAACAGTTACAATAAGGCAGTGGCGGTTCTGGTAGTATTTTTTCGGTGAGGCAATCTATGTATCACCCCCCCCCCCCACCCCAATACAAAATTAGAATTCACAATAAATGTAATTTAAAAACATAAAAATAATTATAATTGTATGAATGCTAATAATATTAATATACTTGTTTCGTATAGTAAATAATATAGTAAGTGATAGATAGGTAATAAACAGAGCATTTTAAAATTTGGTAGTCCTGAAAAGGACCTTTTGAGTAGGTATGCCTAGTCCTGAAAAGAACTTTTTAAGTTGTTATGCCTAGTCCTGAATAGGACTTTTTAAGTAGGTATGCCTAGTCCTGAAAAGGGCCTTTTGAGTAAGTATGCCTAGTCCTGAAAAGAACTTTTTAAGTTGTTATGCCTAGTCCTAAAAAGGACTTTTTAAGTAGGTATGCCTAGTCCTGAAAAGGACCTTTTGAGTAGGTATGCCTAGTCCTGAAAAGGACTTTTCAAGTATGTCTAGTATATTAGATATATTATATCATATATTATTATTATTTAAATGTGGTTTAATATTTTTAATTTTGAAAGTTTAGCTAATTTTGATGTGGTTGAAAACATTTTTGTTTTATTAAATATTTTACAAATTAAAAGTTGATCAATTATATACATTTTATGCTCTAAACAGTTTTTCATTGATTCATCTAACCATTTTATAACTGTTTTATTATTTTTTACAAGCTCAGTTAATTGAAATCTAATTTTCTTTTTATTTAAATATTTTTCATAGTTGTTTTCAAAAATATTCAACATTTTATTTACAACATTATTGAAATTATTTGATGGTGCTTTAAGTCCACTTTCATTATTAATAGAAATATAATTTTTATTAATTAAAAGTAATTGTTTTTTATCGTTTAAGTTTTTATCCATGAATAATTCAAGTTGACATTGGTTACAATTAAATTTGTTCATACATTTATAGCCCAGATATCCTGCAAAATATGTAACAGAGCAGTCTTCTAAAGAAACATCAGTATTATTATCAATATTGACTGAGTCCTCATCAGATGATAAAATACAGAGAGATAAATTAGAATTACATTCTGTATCTGAATCTGAAGATAATGTTGAACTGTTAAAATCTATTTTATTTAGTGGTCTAACTGGATCAATTATAACTGGATTAGCATCTTCTTGTGCTGCCTCACAATTTGTCCTTTTAGATGTACATAAAGAAAAAATACAATTACTTCTTATCGAAGTTCTGATCGTTCTGGCTGTTGGGTTTTTGTTATAACCACCATTTTGTCGAAAAATACTAAAAAGATTTTCTAACCTATCCTGATTTAAACGATTAGTCATTAAAAATACAATGTCATTAGATTTCTCTGCTTCGAAAAATTGCAAAACACCATTAATGGTCTGCGTAAAACCTTTAAAACAGGGCGGTTGTGTTAACTTTCCTTTTTTTAATTTTTGCAAATTTATGAAGTATTCTGAAGCTCCTATTAAAAAATTTTTTACAGTACCTACATCAGTTAAAGCACATAGATATGGATTATTGCTATATAAAGACCTGCTATTAAGACAATCGAATAAATTATTAATAAACTCAATAAAATCTGCAGTATTTGATGAAGTGTTACTTTGAAGTTGTCCTGTTTGTATGCAAGTTCGAATTGCTGCTGACATGGAATTGCTTAACAATTGTGCTGCTAATTTAACACGCATTTTCGTCTTCGATTTGCCACAATTTAAATATTGGCACTTATTTCCAGACATGTTTCAGAACTGTTTTATACAGGTCTACAGTCTACACAGTACACAGTACACACTACAGAACGTCAGAACCAGAAAATGCGAGATGCGGGCTACTGCACAGCGAACGATTAACAAGATAGTATAGTGATAATATAATTATAAATATTATTATTTCCAATGATTTTGTTTGGCATTTCAGTCTCTTATTATTATTCTATTTTTAGATGGGCTCCGCGCGATAAGCTACCTCCCTCCCCCCCAACATCTATGCCAAAAATCTATGATGGGGGTACCACCACCTTGCATCCCGACGACACTAGCGCTTCATAGTGGCTGCATCCTACGTATGGTCGCCAAATATTAACATTGTATGGGCTATCTGTCTATTCTATAATCAATGGTATTATTGAGTAAAAGGACAGTCTTATTTTTGTTGAAAATATAATTATTGCTTACAACGAGAATATTGTAATTACCTAATAAAACGGCAATCCGAAATATGTTGTAAGTGTATTCACTAGAAATTAGAAAATTCATATCGGTGTGAACAAAATATTATAGATAAATAAAGAGTATAGTTTAGTTAATACCTAAATTTAATCAATAAGATTTATTGGTAGTTGGTAGTTGGTACCATTTAAGAATATTTATTAATGTACTATTTATTATACATTATATACATTGTTATAAGTATTTTTATATTTTACTGGGACAAAATTAAAGTGGTCTACGATTTGACAATGTTGTCGACTTAAGGGGCCGGAATTCATTAAAGGGAAATTAATTAGACAATTAGATAAGCAACATCGATGCAATGGATTATAATTTATTATATTAATTATTTAATTGTTATTTGGTCATTTAGATCGCTAATTACAAATACAGCCATTACTCCAGTTTTGTAAAGAATACTTTTATTTTGTTTTTAGAATACGTATTTGATTACATTAAAAAAAATATATTTTGAATACATATTGGAATACTCCAAAAAGTATTCGAATACTATTAGGATATATTTTTTGGTTTTAAATTAACGTGGGTCAATCATATTTCATTCAAATTATAAATAGAAAAACTTTTGTATATAACTTTTAATGTGCCCGTTTTTTAATAAAAACATTTATTTTGTCAATATGAACTATTTTTTGAGTTCGAAAAAAGTATTTTTAAGGGATAAAAAAATACAAAAAAAATTATTCAGAATACTTATTCGAATACTTTACAAGACTGCAAAATATCGACTGAAAATTGCCTATACAAATCTATACAAGACTTTTTCGAATTCCATCAGTACGATTAGAAAAATTACATACAATAAAATTTTAAGAAGGATTAAAATCTTAACAGCATTAATCATTATGCGTGGTAGGTACTTGTATTACTTTTGAAAATTACATATTAAATAACAATTTTTAATAATAATTAATATATTTTAATTTTTACATTATTCTATAAAATAGGTAGTCAATAAATTAATAAAAATAAATTGAAAAAAGGCAATTTAAGATCATACAAAAAATACTTAATTAAGAATCCAAATCTGATATCATTATCGATTTCGTTTCACGCAATAATTGCAGGACGTGGGTACCTACTGATGGAACTTGCCTGTCATATTTTTGTTAAAACCAGTTAACCTAGGGTGAGCGAGAAGTCCCTTAAAATGCGTTTATATCTTGAATATTTTTTCTGACCTGTAATTCAGTCGTGTTGAGTCCAGGGGTGGACTGGCTTTTTTTTTTAGGAGTGTAAAATTAATTAGGGGCCCTAAATTTTTTTTTGAATTTACTAAAATTAGGAAATAGTTCTACATTACAATAAGGGTTAAATTTTAAGAAAGGTCCCAAAAGTGGGAATCGAGGCCCGGATCATTAATAATAATTTTTTGGGGCTGGGTTTATAGCAGCCTGGGCTAGTTCTCCACTGGTTGTGTCTATATACGCTGGCACAACTCGTACAGATGTCGACGACCACTTGTACGAACGTCATGGCTGCTGTTATAATATATTGCTGTCAAACGACTCGATTTTAATTGGTGACGATTCGGACACGCACTGAACAGATGTGCAATAGGTTTTAACGACGATAGTGTTGCACATCTGCTGCTGTTAAGTTATCGTTTCCGATGGTATATCGCTGATGTATTTGTAGTTAAGGTGGTGAGAAGGGATGAAGGGTTCAAGGTTGCTTATCGAATTGAATATAATATTTTGTATATTATATTATTTGTAGTATTTCGAGATATATTATTTTCTACTATTAGTATCATACTTAAAAATGTCAAGCATATTAGTATATACATTTAAAAATTATGTTACAATGGTAATGCGTGTAATTTCCATTTTATAACAATACATTTACTACTCAATGCATTCATAATACATATGGGTGATAACACTGATCATATTTTTAGATTAAACTTGTACTATACACTAATGTTCACTTACTTTATTTTCTATCTCAACTTTAAACTTATCTAGTTATTTTTTTTTTTGTGAACTTTTAACTTAACTAAAGGCAATTTAATTGAATGAACTTAACTTGCCACAGTTATTTATTTTCATTAACTTGCCCACCTTTGCTTTTCATACATTGACAACAGTGACAAGTCACAAAATGCCATCGTATAAATTTGCCAATACTTTTCTTCCGGACCAGGCACGTCTGCATACAAAGTCATACGATTTTCGTAAAAACAGTTATCACGCCTTGCCAGTTACAGACCGTAAACATGAATAAGTTGTCCCGATGTGCCTTACGGAATCTTTGGGAGTTGGACACTAATAAATTATAATATTATGTTCTGTTTTCAGAAAGTAGGCTAAGCATAGCGAAAATTTTGTTGACAAGAATAACTCCATAGAGTATATGTTTGTTAGGGTCCCTATTTTATGATTTGGAATCTTAAAGTTCAAATAAATTAAATAATGCTTTGTCAATATTGAAAATGTAAAAATGAGCACTTACTTTTTGAACGAGTAAAATCGAAAACAATTAGAACGTTAATAATTTAAGCTAATACGTAATTCAAAAAAATATTGTATTTTTAGTTTTTGAAATAAATTAGTGACTACATACTAATTAGTAATATTACCAACCTACTTATTAAAAATTCTTGAGTTGTTGACACTTGAAAATTGAATTTGTTTGAATTTCAGTGAATTTTCACATATTATTATTATCTTAAGACTATAGGTTCTGTATGTTTTATCATCTATAAATTGTTCTCAATATACTTACAATATTATTTTTCATTATTTATACTTACCTATATATTATTATGTGAAATACATATTTTACCTATGCATTATTAGAGTTTTTAATTTTAAATCGAAACATATTTATATAAATATAATTATAATTATTAATATTAATATTTTTATGTAAAAAATAATAAGATATGAGGGTGCAGTGGAGCATCCAAACTCACAGATTGTGATAAAGCCGATGATGAACAAACATGATCTCTGAAAGTTTGAATCAAATACAAGTTTCAGGTTTTTCCAGAATGTGATTGACCAGTGTTACAGACCATGAGCAGATATATCGACGCTGAACAAAACAATTAATGCTTCTCGGGATATACCACTCTATAATATATTAAATATAGGTATACAGGTATAATATACAACTCTATAATATATTTCAAAAACTATACAAATGTTTTTGAAAACATTTGTTTTGCATCATTTTAAGTTGTTCAGAGTAATTAAGATTATTTAAAATTATGTAAACGAAATATTTTGAAAAATGTTTGTGTTTTCTGAAATAATGAGTGTCTTACTCGTCAAATGGATCGCGCCGTATACGTAAAACTTTCTTCTGTCGATGAAGATTTATAGATAATTATATGATACTACAATTTTACTGATAGTTAGCCAAAATCAAAATATTACATTCTAAATGAAAGCCGCTATTAGGGGTGCGTTAGCACACTGTGCTCACAGCCCACCCCTAAGACCACGCGTATGACACACGACAGTTGTTCCGTTGAAACATTTTAAATTTCAATTTTCATCCGGGCTCATAGCGCGTCTGTCTGGCGGTGACGTTTCGGCTGGGAGATATACATGCACCGCGAACGATTCGATTAATCACCGTCCCCTCGTGCAGCACTCGGTCACGGCCAACTGGCGTCTATATACATTATTATGTGGTATGATAATTGATGACTAGAACTGCATGAGAGAGTGCATATAAGTGCATTAATTATCGAAACGTTTGACGATCGCACTGTCGGGAATAATATTATAATTTACTCCTGCACCGTGTCACCACACACGTTCGTGGGCCAGACCGGGCCTGGAAACACGTCGCCGGTTCTGCAACGAAAAACTTGCCGCCAGCAACACATTATAATATTATAATAATTAATACGATACATTATTTTAAAGTAAGTACCTAGGTATACATTTTTGGTAAAAGTATTCAAATACATTTCAAGTACTCAAATACGTAGGTATTTTAAAATTTATTTTTGAAATATTACTAAGACAAAGTATTTTAAATACTTGCTGAAAGTACTTATTTGTATCTTTGTAAGCTGATCTTACCATTTGTTATAAAACAAGCAAAAAAAAACTCGAGCTTTACATTTTTTCTATCCTAATTTGAAAACCCTTAGTTTGAGACAAAACTGCCATGAAGCGCAAGTCGCAAGTAGCAGTTGCTATGAAATGCACTCTATAGTACATAAATATGGTTCACCAGTTAAAGGGATATGACATGGCCACATGGGGGGGATACTACATCCAAATACCCCCAGTAATTACGCTACTACTATCTTATCCCGTACAAAGATTGATTCTGTTTCATTTTAAATAAAAATGCAAACTCTTGAGGTCATAGTTTTTTTTTTATATTGAACTTGTACACGGCATCTATAGCCATTAGCTATTATAGGGATTGTGGTTGGTAGAGTTGGTACGGTAAAGTTGTTATAGTTGAAACAGTTCCAACACGTGTATGTGTGGCAAAGGTTTTATCCACTTCGAACCAGGTACTGGTTCCATGGAACCTTT